TTATTTGCCCCTCACTTATCTTTGTCAGTGAAATGTCCCTGCATGTCTTTTGTCCAGTTTTGAGTTTGATTGTTTCTTTACTGTTGAATTTTGAGCGTTTTTACATATCCTAATTTCTAGTCATTCGGCTATTGTCAGATCGTATTTTGCAAATATGATCTTCTCATAGGCTTTTCCAGAGAAAGAGGTTTTAATCTTGATGAAGTCCAATTTATATCCTTTTATCTGAGTCATACATTTGGTGTCAGTAATAGGAATTTATTTACTTAGTATTTAATCCTGAAATTTTCCTACCATATCTTTTTCTTTTTCTTTTTCTTTTTTCTTTTTTTTTTTTTTTTTTTCTTAGAAGGATCACTTGTTTCAGATTCACTCTTGAAAGTGAATGAGCATCTTCTCATTTTTTTTCAACATTTTTATTTAGTGGCCAAATAGCTCTTATCATGGCAACATGACAAAGGATGCAGGCATATTTTGTTACCAACATCATGCACTAACAACACAGAAGAGAGATGTGCTAAAGGAGAGAAGGTAAATGGTGTATGCCACACGAGGCTTAGGCTAGACAGAGAAGCCAGAGCAGTTGAGTGACCTAGGTGTCAGGACTGATGGGCTACTCGCAGCACCACTGTCAGCACAACTCAGTTCAATCCATTTCCTACTTTATGTCACTGCACTGGAGACTCAAGGTCCTGGAAAAGAAAATTTGATGAGCCTATTGTGCATGACATGCATGGGGAAGACAGGGCTATGGTCAGTGGGGATAAAGACATCTTGATTATTAAATCACAGAAACTCTCTTGAAGGGAGGATGAGTGATTTTCCAAAGGATAACTGGGGCTGTGTGTACTCAGTGTTTTACAGCTTATCTACCATGCACAAGATCCTGGGTCCCAGCCCCTCCAAGAGTGCAGCAACAAATGGACATCTCAACTGCACTACCAACAACAGAAGCGAGGGAGGCTGAGTACTTGACAGCAGGGACCCAACTAGCAACAAACACAAAGTCTTCAACACTTGGGCCCCATTCATTCCTTGCCTGTGACAACCTGACAGATGCACTAGAGTTATCTAATATGACAGCCACAGGAAGGAAGGAGGATATGGTTCAGAGGGAAAAGGAAGTGAAAGATGCAGGGATTGACTTAGAGGGAGATAAGGATCCTGGAAACACAGTGGGAATGTCAAGAATTGAGTTGGAAAGGGTTGGAGGAGAAGGTTAGTGAGTTCATCTCCATCTGGGAGGGAGAAATATGGTTATGATCTATCTACAGTGCCTGGTGGTGAGGCAGGCTCCCATGTCCTGGGACATAATGCCCATTCTACTTTCTCTTTCTACACTAAAAAGATCCAGGAACTACAACTGAACCTGCAGAATGCCATACCTAGAAGAGGCTCTTTTGTGAACTGGATCTCTTGGCCAGTTGCCCATTCCTCAAAGAGTATAATCTGTCAAATAGAAGAAGGTGAGGAAGCATGTGATTCAAGTTCTGCCTCTGGGCAAAGCAGCATTCAAAGAAAGTGGGCTGGGAGGCAGGGGAACTCACCTCATTTGATCCAGGATGAAGCCAGGGTCCCGGAAGGTAGAGGGTTTTCTGGGGACCAACATCCCAGTAGCGTCCTAGGTTTCTTCCATTGATAAATATGACTCCTTTCTTCCAGCCCTGACAAATAATTGAACAGAAGATTCAGGATCTGAGTTTCAGATATAAAGCATGAGGGATGCACACATATACCCCTGCCACTTATACACAGACACACCCAATCATAGCACAGCACTACGCAGACAGGCTGAATTATTAAGAACAGCCCTACATGGAAGGAGAATGGCAAGTACTCAGGGCTCAGGAAGAAGGGCAGACTTCTATCCCATCTCCCTGCATCTGTTCCAAGCCAGCGAAGGGAATTTTTACATACCATGGGGTATTTGTCAAAATCTACCAAGCTCAAAACAAAGTTGGAGTTGTACAATTTGAGCTGTGGCAGTCAATATGTTCTACGTGTCACTACAACATCCTGCCACAGCTCCAGTGGAAAGTTCGTGAAGATCCACATCCTGGGATACCTTTGGGGACTCTCTACAGTCCCCCTGCAGTGCATTCTCCAGCTTGCCCAACTGGAAACAGCACTCATTTATCAGTTGCACTTACTTGTTTACGTTTCACCTCTGTCTGGGTCCACCCAGGGATGGTGCAGTTTCCAGATGGCTGTGGGGTGGCTGAAGTCCTTGAAGCTTAGATTCCCTACCTGGGGCAGGGCTTATACATTAAGGAGCTTTTTTTTAAAGTCCTTTGCAGGTGGAGATTGGAGGGCATATGGGCAGTCAGACGACACTAACCTCTAATTTTATGAAGGTGTCTTGGGGAACATCACCAACTCTCAAGAGAGCGAGGAAAAAGGCCGGGCCCCGAACTTCTTTTGTGACTGGTTTCCAGAGGCTGGGCAGTTTCCTGAGAGGAAGTCAAGGGCCAACATGGTCATACCTTTTTTTTTTTTTTTTTTTTTTTTTTTTTTGTACCAAGGATGGAACTCTGGACTTTGCATCTGTGAAGCAGGTGGCAGCACCACTGAGCTAAATCCCCGGCCCAGGGTCATACCTTTTTAATCCTCTGCCCATGACCTTAAAGTCAGCCTTATCCCTGGAGCCTAGTGTCTGTGGCACTGTGGCACTTGCTATGCCTTTTCAGAGTGCATATTGCAGTAAGACATGAAATCAGGGCTGGGAAGATAGTCACCGCACTGCTCCCAGGGAACTAAAAAACCTGGGGTAATTTCCTTCCACACTCTGGGGCTCCATCTCTCCTATTTGAAGACCACAGGTTCATCCACAGGACCTCTAAGGCTCTTTGAAGGTCACCATGTCCACCATATTTGATCAATCTGGGGTCTGTCCACTCACTTTTGTATGAATGCAGTTTTCAGGTCCAGGCTGTAGATCATAAATTTTTTTAATGGAGAATTGTCCAGATAGATATCCCCAATTAAACCTGTGTAAGAGCAAAAAAAAGGGGAGCATGAAGAAGGCAGGAAAGAAGGGAGATGTATGTGGCTACAGCCATGGCTTCCCCTGAGGGAGGCTGCTTTCCTAGCCTCATCTGGCTGTAAAGTTTCTGCAAATTCCAACACTAGATTTTGCCTGTTTGTTTTGTGGCACTGTGGTACATGCATGCTAGGCAAGGCCCTACCCCTGAGCTATGCCTGCAACCTGAATCCTACACAGGTTTTCCCTTCCAAGTGTATACCTCCTGCATAGCACCTGCACCATCCACGTTAATATCACAGAAGCCACTGAAACTCCCACACAGGGCTTCAGGCTGGCTTGACCATTCGGGTGTACCCAAGCTCTTCAGCTCAGAGGTATAAGAAATGTGCCCAGCAATTCTGGGGCCAGGGGAAGGTACCATGCTTCACAGACAGAAAAGGCAGAGTGCCTAGGGAGGGACCCTAACTACTATTTTTTCTCCAGAGACATCTCTACAGTTTTTTCCTGAGGGAGCCATTTTCAAAACCCTGAGAAACAGGAAAGCCACGTACTAGCTCTGGTTTGGTAATTAGAGAACACAAAGACATCTTCAAAGTTTCCAAATGTAGGACTTCCACAGCCAAAAGAATATGCTCCCTTCCAACACATGCCTGTCCATAAATGCCCTCAGCTTGGGGTAAGAGGCACAGGAACTTGGTGCGCAAAAACACAGACATCTGTACTTGGAGCCCACCTTTTCTCTCCTTGCTGATGTCAGTCCCATAGGCAAGACGGCCTTGATTCTCCACCAAGATTCTTAGGATGTGGATGCCCTGTAACGCAGACCCAGCAGAGTCCACAGACTTTCTAGGCTGCTCCTGTAGCAGAGCCCAGGACCTGAGCAGAATAACTGATGGCCCATGGGCTTCGGAACCCTGTGGGCCTCCAGCTCTGAGCCAAGCAATGCCTTAGACTCCTGCTCTGCCTTCTCATCCCATACTCTCCAAGCCTGGCCTTTCAGGGAAGGAAAAGTCACTTGAACATTTTATCAGAAACACTATCAGAACTGGTGACCAACCCATAGTTTTTGAGTAGAAAACATTCAAGATGGAAAACTGCTCACCAAAAGGATATCTACCAGCACCTCAGAGATATATACAGCCCTCCCCTAGTCTCTGCTGTGTTCCTCTATAAGGGACATTCCACAAGGCAGTAGAGGAGAAAATGGGCTATCCCAGGGCCAACCTATGCTTATAGCTGAAAGCAGGGCACTAGAACTATTTTCCATTAACATGGAGTTATATACATTTTTCTTAATATACAGCTCTTCAGTGGAATGATCCAGGACTCCTAAATACTTCTCATTTAAAAACACCTGCCAGAGAAAGAAGAAAACGCTGTTAGTTACTTGATAGAAAGGGAGGAGAGGAGACAAAAAACAAATAATACAGCTTGTCTACAATTATAATTACCTTTTTGTCCCCAGAACCCTACAAGCTCCCTATGAGTTCACCAAACTTATTTTATTTAAAGCACTACAGTGAGGAGATGCACAAGGTGAGGCTATAGGAGGATGTCCTGACATGAAAGCTGGAGCCCAGTCCATGTAGCACAATGAGGCAGGGAACACTGTAAAGACCAGTGGGAATTGAGAGAAACAAGGAGGGTAGAGACCAGTCAACTTTGGGAAGGAAAGGATGGAAAAGGGAAGGCATGGGAACTACAAGGACAGCAACTGTTCTGTCTGTCTACTCTTTTCTCATTTGTTCCACTCTGTAACAGACCAAATAGCCAGGAAATATGCCAGATGTCCCCAGATTCTTGTATTACTTCCACCACTCTACCTGCTTGTGGGCACGCTCTGAAGTAAACTCACATCTTTTCTGTTATCTACCACATTGCGTCAGTCCCAAATTCAGCCATGCAGAAGGCTCTACTCTAATCATGCAAGACCAGCTAAGTATAAATAAGTTGTTTATTATTTACATTAGATTACAATTTTTAAATGAAATTTGGCTAATTAACTAAAATTAAAAATCCACAAGTATTAAAAACATAATATTAATAAACTGAATAGAAAATTCCTATTTTAAGCTCACTAGAGTTTAATGGCAAGGTTTATATATTCCATGACTGTTTACTGAATATCTACTATCTAACTAAATATTTCCCTGGGACAGGGAAAAGACAGCAACTACTGAGGAACTCTGGTGGGGAGTGACACAAAGAAATGATCAGAGCACACCACAACAGCAACCACAGCACCAGTCTATTTTGCAGACCCGGGAAAGTGGCCAGTGGTAGAGAAGTAGCATGCTGAGCTTTTACTTGGGGCCAGAAATACTGAAAGCACCCAAGCCAGGCTGGCAGGAATGACAGGAAGACAGAGGATGAGGATGAGTGGTCAGAGATAAGATTAGCTGTGAGGTTCCAAGAATAAGAGACAACAGACAGCATGATAAGATTGTATCAGTAACAGCCTGGATATTGTAAGAATGATTAATTCATGTTGTCCCCCACAGGGGCCAGCTGAAACAAGGACTGAGGAGGAAAAGGAAAGGAGGACAAGTGAATATACTTGCTAGGGAGGCTGTGAATCCATGAACCAATATGCAGCTTACTGGGGGAAGAATGAGTTGGGTTTTGAACACAATGAGTGGAGAAGTCCACGGGACACAAACTAATGGTGGATGTATCTCCAGTGAGTGGCAAGAAATATGGGTCTCCAGTGAAAAAGAAGAATGGAGTCACAGAAACAGAAGGGCAGGTTGAGTTTCTCTTATCCAAAATGCTTGGAGCCAGAAGTGTTTCAGATTTTGGAAATTTTAGAATTTTGAAATTATAGTGATAACCTCAACTGTCAAACTCAATTCACTCGAAATTTGTGTTCAAACATTGAAAAGTTTGAGAAATAGAAAACCAAATAATAGAAACCACTAATTACACTTATAAATTCATTTTTCCAGGACTTTAACAAATTTCACAAGGATTTCTTTTTTTTTGTTGTTTTTTTTTGGTTTTTTTGTACCAGGGATTGAATTCAGGTCCTTGTGCCTGCAAGAGGATTTCTTTCTTTAACTTTATTATGTTTCTCAGTTTCCTCTTAGCTTTACTGCCCATTTTGCTAACTTTCTTTGGAGCCAGGGTTACAATATTTTACGCTAATACAACACATTAAAAAAAAGTACAGTGACAAATGTTACAAGTTGCTAACATAGGCACCATGCATTGTCTGGGCGAGAGTGGTGCTTATACTAGAGCATCGTCTCTTTGTGTCCGAGATGAGACGTGATGTGTAACTCACTCTCAGCCTGTACAAGTTTTTTACTTTAGATTTTCAGTTTGACTATCAGGCAAAGTTACGGACACCAAGCAGGTCTTTTTTCAAAGTCTGCTGTTTGAGTAGTGGAAAGTTTGAGCTCAGAGCCATTTGTGAGAAATAAGCTTTGTCTTTTCTGTCAAAGCACAAGGTCAAAATAACTCCATTTCAGATTTAAATGACCTGGCTATATACTCACTACTACTCTCTCCCCGTTAATATCCTGAACTCCAAGAAGTGGTCACTAGGCACACAGCTGGTTCCCAAGATAAGAACCAAGAACTTTTCCTTCCAAACTCCACTTCCCTCTCTTAACTTATTTGGCAATGTATCAACTCACCTCCCATGTCATTCAAGTTAGTCAACCACAAAAATTGTAAGCCTTAGAATTTAGCCAATGAATTTAAAGGTCAGCTGCTTCTCTTGTACTGGGATAAAAAGGGTCACACTCCTTTGTCCTGTATACCTGCTACCCCATGCTTGTGCCCTTCTGGAAAAGTAAAATGCCCTGTCAATATTTCTTTACGTCTAAGTGATTTATTTACACCACAACTTGAGTCTGGAGGCTTATTTACAACACGTTTGAAAACCAAGGTATCACAGTACTTGCATACACTTTAGCAGACAAACGCCCCTAATCTCAAAATCTGAAATCTCAAATTTTTTAAGCATGGTGGTGGCAACTCAAAAAGTTTTAGATTTTTGAGCATATCAGATTTTGGATTTTCATATTAGGGATGCCCAACCTGTACTCAAAGGCTTGGAAAAAGATGTTATGAAAAGTTTGAAGAGCAAGACATTTTACCAAAATCTAGAAAAGACAGCTGTCAACTTGGAGTAAGATGAAACCTACAGCCTCAGCTCTACATTCTTCTAGTTGAATATCCTTTGAAAGTCACTTAACTTTTCTGAGGTTTCCTTGTTTATAATAAATATCTCAGGTAGGTGCTTTAGGAGTTAAATAAGAAGAACTAACTATTAATATGCTATGTAAGCATTAGGGGTCGATACACAATCATTATGGGGACTACTTAAGCTTTTCCCAGGTCTTAGCACTATTGGCTCCCTTAAGGTCCAGGAGTCTCCTGTGGATGCCCACATACATTAGACACACACCAGCAATAGCATTTGACTATTGTTCAGACATTCACCTCAGCAGTACTTGGGTACTGAGACAACAGACAGGTACCACTAGGATTTGTTCACTGTTTCCTACGTGCTCTCAATCTTGAACATGGCCCCTTGAGGTAAGAAGCCCTCCTTTGATGATGGAAGTCTCATAATGTGTGTAGCCGAAGGACTGACCACTCCCTTCATTCACAGACAGCTGCTCCATAGAGACTGGCTTGGCAGATGAGACTGTCTGTGGCAGAAACAAGAGCAACAACTAAAGGTGCAGGCTGGATAGAACCTCAAAAAGTGCCACCCAAAGCCCACTCCTCCAGTTGTGAAAACAGGAGTATCACAGGGAACATGAAATGATAATCGTGCTTAAGTGTGTCATATAAATTGCTCCCTTTTGTTTTCCAAACTAGCTAGTGAGGTATTCTTATATTCTAGAAGGAAAAGCTGAAGTTAAAAAAAATGGAATGATTTTTAAGCATAGCTCATCAACTCATGATAGAGTCTGAACAAGATTCCCGATCCCAGAAATTCTAACTCAGCTGTGATAGATGCTATATTGCTTTCTCTTCTTTTCCTTTTCAGCATCCCCTAGGAGAAACCAACCCAGCCCACAGTCTAACTTTCACACTCTTTTATAAACTGTATTTCTGGCACTCACCTAGAGTACTCCATGGTTCTTCACCCCCATGTCCATTGGACTTCTCTATGTGGGGGTACAAAGGTGCTTCTTGGGCAGTGTCACCCAAATGTATGCAAGACACACCCCCAGCCTGTTCTTTTTCCTTATAAAGGGCAACACCATCCATCCAGTCAAAAAGAAAATATAGTGCCCTCTCCTCTTATTCTTCTCCCTCCACCTCCTATGGTATGTCAATCGTTCATCACCTCTTTTAGAGAATGACCCTAAATATCTGTTTCACTAATCTTCCTTCATATATCTGCTCCTTGAACTCAATTTCAATAGTTTTCTATTTGGTTTATCCAGCATGGCCTCCCTCTAATCTATGCCTTATAAGGCTACCAAATGCTTCTGAAGTGAAAATGAAAGTCAGATGGCTTCTCATAACTGGTAGAGAAATGTTCCAACTTCTCATTATAAAAAGTAGTCCTTCAAGGCCTGGAAAGGAGTGCTACCTCACCTGCCCAGCTGAGAGGACCAGAACAGACATCTGGGTGGCCAGCTGAGGACCTTTCTATCAGCACTCACTCTTTGGCAGCAGTAAATACCAGTGATTAAAAAAAGCTGATGACATGTCACCTATCAAAGACACTGCTGCAGAGTATTCCTCTATCCCTTCTGACCAGCTGAGTCCTGAGGACAACTTGAAAGCCACTGACACCAAATATACTATGGGCCTAGAGTCAAAGTTGCTCCTTCCCACACAGCAGTCCTTCCAGCTGCCTGCCATGTAGCTGTATCAGCTCCCACATGTGTGGAAGACTTGACTACAAAGAGTGAGCATAGTGGCCAGTGGACTGATGAAGTGTCTGCTGAGAAAACAGAACAAGGTCACAGCATGAGGACAGCATCACTCTTCAGTGAAGGAGACCTTGGGGTTACTGTTTCTGCTGAAAAGAATTTGTGTGATGAAGGTAATCTGCTTCTCATTGTATATTTTAGCTTTTTACAAAGACACTTGCATAACAGTTTATTTAAAACTGTCTTTCAAAGATGATTTTGATTTCTTAATGATAGATCAGTGTAATTTTTTTATTTTATCATAACATTCTAAAATAACTCATCAAGCTTGATGATTTAGTTATTGCCCTATTGCCAGGGCAAAATATCCTATACCCAAAATTTAAGAGAAGGACAGGAGATTTCAGTCCATAGTTGGCTGACTCCAAGGCAGGGCAGCATGGCACAGGGGCATGGCCAAGGAGAGTTGCTCAACCCAGAAGCATAGAGTTCAAGGCAAGAGCTGGGAAGGGAAATATAACCTTCCTGGTAGCACCCACAGTGACCTGTTTCTTCCAACCAGGCCCCACTTTCTAAGAGCAAGTCAGCTGCAAGTCTGTAATCCAATCACCTTTTAAAGGTCCCACCTATAATGGCATGAGGCTTCAGGGGAACAATGACATAGAAACCAGAAAAACTGAGCTCCTCTAAAAAAGACTTGTGTTTAAAATTTTAGATCTATTTCACATGTCTCAGAAAAGAAAAAAAGAAGCCAACGCATGAGAATTCAAATAACCACTCCTTATCTGCAGAAAGGTTTCTAAACTGTTTGGTCACTATATTTCTGGGGATGTGCAAGCTATGCAAGCGCTGTAGCACTAAGTTATATCCCAAACTCTGATTTTTAGATGTCTTGTCAGTTAAAATGAAGAATAAATACCTTGCCATAATTGTAAAAAAAAAAAAAAAAAAAAAAAAAAAACTCTTACAAAAATTGAAAAAAAAAAAAAAAAAAAAAGTAGCTTTCAGAACTCCTCAAAGTAGACTCAAAGTAGATGATTCAGGGATATAGAGCATGGATTCTAAAACATCCAGGGGAGCAAAGAAAGAGGATATCAAAAGCTAAGAGAGTTGTGTCAAGAGAACATAGACATCAACTTGAAGGGGCTCCTGCAGTTCTAAGATGGGACAAATGGAGCCTCACAAAGAGACCATGTGGGCTGGGGTTTTAGAATGCTGGTAAAACACTTGTTGTGGGGGACTATAAGAGGGTAGAAACATGTTAAAAGTATTACATTTTTGAGTCATTAAAGGAGCAACAGAGCAAAACAACTTATTGGCTGTCTTCCGAGGCTACATAGGAATAAATTCATTTTTCTGATAAAAGAAAAGAACTTCTGTTCTGACTTTTCTATATGAACTGTACTTCAGGATAGATAATGCATGAAGAAAAGTTCTTCTGTGTAGGAGAATTCAAATGAATAAATGCAGAGGGATTACAGAATTAGAACATCACTTTCAAGGCCTTTGATGAAACACAGTTTAATTTACCAGCACATGGCTAATCTTTTTTCAACTAAACCTTAGTCTTCCTTCCCTAACTTTTACAGGATTATTTTAAAGCAGATTCTATACATCATAGAATTTCAACTACAAATAGTTCAAAATGTATCACAAAAGATTAAGACTGTAAAAACAACTACCAAATCATCATCATCATCATTATCATCCTCATCATAATAACAGTAAAAGTTATAGTAATTCCCTTAAATCAGTGTCCTACTGGGAGATGTTTAGCAATTGTTTTTCTAGAAGACATAATCCTTTAAGATGTAGTGTTTTCAATTTCTGTGGTATAAATACTTCTACCACGGTTCATTTTACTGCAATAATTATCAATGGCTGTTAAAAGCATTGGGGAGAAATGTGATAAAAAATTTGAAAATGAATAGGCAAACTGATAGTACCTGAGCTCTCTGATAAATTATGAAACCAGTGACAACCAGAATTATGTGCCTCAATATAATGCATAGAAAGTACTATAGTCAGGGCCAGGGATTTAGCTCAGTGGTTCCTCCACCTGCCTCCACTGAGCTAAATCCCCAGCCCCCTACAAAGTATTCTTACAAACATATTTAAGTAAACTGACTTTAAAGCCTTGAGATCAAACTATCAGTTTACATAAAATTCAGAGCAAATAGAGGCATGTTACCTGACACATGGGGATCTAGTCTACAAAACAAAACCCAGAACATAGGGAATTCTAGTACAAATAGCCCAGATTTTCAACAAATAAAATAAAGAAAAATTATTCAGATTATGAGACTTAAGTGACATATCAGTGAGATACAATGTGTGATGGTCCTCAGTTCCTGAAATTAACAAATCAATCCTAAAAAAGGTTATGCGATGACTGAAGAAATATGTACACTAGATATTCCATGGCTTTAAACAGTGGTGTGGTATGAGGCTCAGAGGCAGCTTGTACTAGCAGGTGAGAGTCACCTACACATATATCTTCTCAACTATGCTCAGTGTCATGTTAGTAGGTTGACATTAGCCATTGTGGGAATATTTACACCACAGAAATTGGCAACACTATGAATAAGATATTTTTCTTCCAGAGAACCAGTTGCTAAACATTTCCTAGCACATCACTAATTTGAAGAAATTATTATGCTTATCAATCATCTTAACAATGATGTTAAGATGATGTTAACAATGATCTTAACAATGATGTCCATTGTTGTGACAAAATACTTGAGAATAACTTAAAGGAAGGAATATTTACTTTGGATCGTGGTTTCAGAGCTCATGGTCACTTATTTCTAGGCCTATATGTAGTAGGGCAGAAATATCATGGTAGAAGGGCATGGCAGAGGAAAACTACTCATCTCATGACAGCCAGAAAACAGACAGAGAGCAAGGGAAAGAGCTCAAGAGGAAGGGGATAAGGACAAAATATACCCCCCCCCTTTTTTTTTTGGTACTGGGGATCAAACTTGGGTCTTTGCGCTTGCAAGGCAGGTGGCGGAACCACTGAGCTAAACTCCCGGCCCCAAAATATATCTTTTGAAGACATACCCCGGTGACCTGCTTCATCCAGTTAGGCCCATACCCTAAGAAGCAAACTGAACAATGGTGAACTGACCATTAATGATATTAGAGCTCTCATGATCCGATCACTTCCCAAGACCTCCCTTCTGAGCACTGCTGCACTGGGGATCAAACCCCCAATGATGATCCTTGGGGGACATATATCCAAATCATAACAGGTGACAGTGATTATGCTGAGTTTTTTTAAGTCTTTATCTTTCAACATATATATACATATAGTTGAAATTTTATAGTACCTCAGATCTGCTTTTAAATAATCTTATACTGAGTAAGGAGAGAATAATAGGGTATAGGTGTAAAAAGATAGGCAGGTATTGAAGTTCCAGCTGGATGGTGGGCACATGGGGCTCCCTACTATTCTCTCCACTCTAAAACTTCATAGGAAAATGTTAGGAACCAACTTACAAAGGCCCTGCATTGTGTAGTACCTGGCTCCCTTCCTGACCCTGTCCCACACAGTGGGACACTTTTACTGGTAATACTACTGTTACTATTACTACTAATAATATTCCCAAAATATTATTAATTCAGTGAATGTCACAGAAGTAAGTATGTAGTCTTGCTTCTGGAGCAGGAGTTTTTAAGCTGTGTTTCTTAGAACCACGGGGCTAAGTTAGAAGTGGTACCATTTTAGAGAAGGCATGGCTGAGCCTTAGAGAGGAGGAGGAAAGCCTAGTTACAGAATGACTATTCCTGATTTATGTCTTGCATAATGAACTTAACAGCAAGTTTGGAGAAAGTTCCTCTGTTAAAACAAAAGTTTAAAAATCATTGCCTTGGATCCAGTCAGTGTACCTTTATTCTACCAACCTTCAGAAAGCAGGGGACAACCTGCCAATGAGATTATGAAAAGGAAGTTCCCAATATTCTGCAATGTTTATACTATACCTTCTAATTCAAATGTCTACTCTGAATTCATATTCTCAGTTTCCTATTCTAAAACTATAAAACTGGGATAAGAAACTAACAGTTCTAAGGATTGCTTTTCATTCCCTATCATTTACTGCATGTCCTTGGAACTAAGCCTTTCATTCCTCTTTTCCAAAAGCTTTCCCACATGTATACACTCAGGAAATGCTCACCTGGTCCACATAAGGCAGGATTTCCCACAGGGACATGAAGTGGAATCTCGTTACTGACTTATAGACAACCTTTGATATACGTTCTGGTGGTAAGGCTGTGGGAACCTCTGCAATGGAAAACAGGCCTGTCAAAGGACATAAAATACCTTGCTATCCCACAGCCTCCAGAGTGAGGGCCCAGTTGCAGGGCATGACTTCTGAACTATGGGCAGAATCAAGGAAGACTCACAGCCATTAGCTCCAAGGCAAGGCCTCGCTACCCTAGAAAAGAAGAGCACATCAGTCCCACCTGCTGGACCAGTAGCACTCAACCCTCACTCTCAGAATCCACCTCTCCCTTCCTAGAACTCCTGGATATTAAAAGTCCTACAGATGATGCCATGCCCAGCAAAGACTAGGCCATATGGTCCAGTGCTGAGCACCTCCAGAGCAGGCCCTACACCCTGAGCATATCCAATGCCTGATAAAATACACAGGAGCAAACTAGACTTCACCCTAAGATATCTCTCCCTCCTTCCTCTCTCCCCTCTTCCTCGGACAGATATTATTTTGGAAGGCTGAGTCGCCACTCAGAATGAGGTCCCCACTCATACCTGCAACAGAATGCAAAAGCTCTTGAAATACGAGATACTCAGGCGTGTAGTTTCCATTCTCTGTCAGCAGTGCCCCATAGTCTGGAAAGCACAGAGAAATTTGTCATTTTCCCAAGAAAGCCTTGTTTCAGGTTCCTTTCCCAAGAAGGGAGGAAAGCTTAATACAGAGCAAAAAGAGCCTTAATAAGCAGCTCAGGGAGGAAAAACTGCATTAGATAAGAAAATTACTTCCCTATTAATCCAAACTAAGCAACCTCTGTCAAGTTAAGGAAGGATTTCAATAGCAGGCAAATTACACCATTCCACAGGTCACTAACAAGCCCTGTCCAAGAGATTGAAGTCTCTAGTTCAGTGGTTTCTTCTTTCTTTCCCATTTCTAAGTGAACTCCATTCATTTATTTATTTATTTATTTATTTATTTATTTATTTATTTATTTATTTATTTTTGCTACTGGGGATCGAACTTGGGACCTTGTACTTGCGAGGCAGGCAGCAACACCAGTGAACTCCCCTTATCGATTCACCCTTTATTTATTTCCTGTGTGGTCTTTTAGAACTGTGGACTGGGGAAGACACATTAACAGATACCCTGGTGCTACCAGGAGAACTAATGCAACTGCATCTGCAGGGAATTTCTAATACAGAGGTCTGCACAACAAGATGTTAATTGCTCTGCTTGCAAAGCCCTAGGAAGCCTAGATCCTAGTGGAGGATAAATTCTAGCACTGCCAAGAACAACAGCAAGAAATCCTCAACCCCCAGCACATATTCACAGCAAAAAAAATAGAAGCAGTGCCCAAGTTTGTCCTCAGGGGCCTACTCTAAGAAACTCCAGGGTGCTGGGAAGGGTGGCCCTGGGTGGAGATAATTCTGGGGCAAGTACTTGCCATAGCTGGTTACTGCAGGAAGGTTAACATCCAAAGACTCAGCTCCACCCATGAAGCCAAAGTTGGTGCCTCCATGGAACATGTAGAAGTTGAGGGAGAATCTAAGCTTGAGCATCTCATGTACATCCTTCATTAGCACTGCACAGAAAAAGAAGAAGCAGGGGAGGAAACTTGCATTTAAGAGAATTCATAGCTCCTTGTTGGATTTTCAGATCACCTACAGCAAAAATACTCAAGATCTACCAAGATCTCATGCCAGAAGCTGTGGGAAATGACCGAAGATCCTTCAGCCCTGGATGACTGACAGAGTTATTCCAGGTTCACATCCATAACCCAAAGCCTTCTGGGTTTCAGATTTGGGAGGTCCCCCCCCCCAGCATACAAATGGCATTGTCAAATATCTGCATATAAAAATATATATATATATATTGTCATTTTAGTGTTTCTAAGGCACTTAAAAACTTCTGACAGTTGCTGATTTGAAATTATAGCAGCAGATATTTACCTTCAAACTCTTTTTTTTTTTTTCTGGTACTGGGTATTAAACACAGGGTTTTTGTACTACAAAGCTACTTTCCCAGAACTTCATTATTTTTATTTTGATACAGAGCCTCAGTAACTTGCCCAGGCTGGGCTCAAATTTAGAATCCTCCTCCCTCAACCTCCCAGAGTGCTGGGATTGTAGGAATGGGCCACCATACTCACCTTCAAACTCCATTTTAATGATTATCAATTGTCCAGGGAGGACTACAGAATTAAAGTCAGCTAATCTGGGGCCAGATAACTTTTCTTTTTTTTTTTCCAGCTTTAATTGAGTTTATTGGTACATTTTAGGGATACAGTACAGTTACATTCATTGTTGGGATCTTGTACTCTTTCTACTTTCACCCAACACACCTTCAATGACTCCCCCAATTTGATAGAACGGCCCACTCTAACTAGTTTTATAGCCTCAGTAAAATATAATTACAATGGCAATAACTGAAACTTAAATTTCAGTTACAATGATCTCTTGGTGTTCATTCTCTGTCATCTTACCCTCACAGGTATGTGTGAGGTGGCCACGTGATCAGTGATGTTTATGGAACTATAACATCTGGGAACCTTGTCCTCTAAATCTCAAGTGCTAAATCAGCAGGAAGAAACAGCCTAGTGCTGTCAGCATTGCATGTTTTCCCAAGACAGGGACAAACAGAACTCACTGTGTACATAGAGACTGCGGCGGATCTTACCCCATGTGTCCAAACCTCTCGCTGTGTACACCATCACCAGTACAGGGCTAGAACCCTAGAAAAACCAGGTTTCAATTCAGAAAACTCTAACGCAACCCAGAAGCCCTGACTGGCTTAGGAGGGAGTTGTGAAGTCCAGCTCTCAACACCTCCTCTGTACCTCAGAGCATCGTGGCCTGGCTCATGAACTGAGCTCTCCTGTCTCATTCTCACATCATTGTTCTGGTCTTATTCTTCTTCCTCTTCTGCTTTCAAAATCATCTTGCCCAGGCCTTGGGGAAATCAATTGCCATTTCAATGTTGTCCTTTCTAAATCTCTTCTTTTTTTTAGCCACATTGCTTAAATGTTATTATATCCAAATAGAGACTGATATACCACTGATAACCTGATGATAATTTAAATTTGGTACCTCGCATTTTTAGAAAGCACATAATATTGACATTTAAATAAAATGAAGCAGTAACTATAATCTTCTATTTTGTTGTTGTTGTTGTTATTTTGGTACTGGAGATTGACTCGGCCCTTGCGCTTGCGAGGCAGGCGGCGGCACCACTGAGGCAAACCCCCGGCCATATAATCTTTTATTAATAAGGCTTGATCAATTTTGAAAGATCAACAATGGATTTTTTTTTAAATCGAAAGAAAAATAAAGTAAATGCTTCCCCCAATACATAAGAATCACTTGCTAGCTTTTGCACTTAAAATGTGTGGAACCAAATGGGCCAGATTCTCAAAGGCAATAATAATAGTTTGTACAAGTGCTTGTACAACTGTTTTGGCACCATATAAAATAAGAGTAACCCTCCCAAGGAAGATACAGTTGAATTTTTCCTCTTCTCAGACTGCCCCACTACTACCAGGCAACAATAAATATGTGTACACCCTTGCTGTCCTACTGAGGAAACTAAAATAACCTAGGTTTTAAAATGGCTGCTCAGATGACAGAAGAAGAGTTCTTTCCCTTAACGTGGGGTGGCAGAGAACATCAGCAGGTACCAATTTCTTTGACCAGGAGTAAAAATCTCTTTTAAGGAACTCATTATTTTCCCAGTCCTTTTTAACCTATCATGCTCATTCTTTTTATTGCTAAGCATGTCTACTAATTATGATTGTATTCACGTCCAGGAAGTATGCACCATTGTCTCAGCCAGTTTCCTCCTTGTTGAGACAAGGTACCTGACACTTGATACTTAAAGGAGGAGAGGTTTATTTTGGCTCAGTTTTCAGAAGTTCTACCATGTTCAGCAGGCTTAAACACAGAAATGGGATGGTGGAAAGGCCTGGACAGAGAAAAGCCACTTATAGCAGGGTAGCCGGAAGCGCAAAGAGAGGGAAGAACCAACCAGAAAGGGAGACACAGTCTTCAAGTCGCACCCCAGCGGTCCACCTCTTCACACAGAAAGTCAGCTGCATCACTTCCATGACTCAGTGACCATCCCTTACCTAAAAGTACTCGAGGCCAATGAAACACATTCTTGATCCAAACCCCCACACCTAAGCAGAACTGATCTATTTCTTTTTGTTTGCTTGTTTGTTTTTTGGTACCAGGGTTGAACTCAGGCCCTTGCGAGGCAGGCGGCAAAACCACTGAGCAAAATCCCTGCCTCCCATCTATTTCTATTTCCTTAAAGACAAAGTACACTTACTTTACATAATGCCATTGGTTTTTCTCTTATGTATTTTTTTATTTTTGTTACATGGTTTATTATTTATCAAGGCAAACTGTAGCTTTGGATAAAAAAGATAAATTATCAAGTGGATCCTAAAACATATTTCTGAACACCTAACATCTGAACACCTAAGACTTTATTATATTGTCCATTAAAAATTCATGTAGTGCTGGTGGTGATCCAAGAATTTTATATTGTCATTTCTGACATAAATCACATCCCTCAATACACATGTATTTTCAAAAAAAAAGACATAATATAGTAGTTTCTTATTTGCTGTTACATTTTTATAGCAAATTGAAAACTGTGAGTAAATGAAAGGAATGTCTAACAACAATAAATACACTATATGTGGCTAATACATATGGTTATTAAAGGCATCAGGAAATTTGCATCTTGCAGCAGATCTGTAAATCCAGATTTTTTCTGTAATATTATGTCAGCAAACTGCTTTACAGATATAGTATCTCACAAAATCATGTTCTGTGGAGATAGAAAATGTTTTGTTGTTGTTGTTGTTGTTGTTGTTGTTGTTTTTGCAAAAGCCTCTGATGAGATATTTCACCAAATATTGTGGAATTCTTTAACTTTCTAGGGAAAATATGAAAATTTGACACTAAATGTTGCTGAACAAAAAGTTAGATTATTACCAAGTGCTTTTAAAAATTTGCTCTAATATTTTTAAAGTTTTAACATATCTGGTGTTTTTGAGTTCCTCATCTATAGAAGATAACTAAACACACTAGGGCCTAGTATTTAGGTGATAAAACATACTAGATGATTTCAAAGGATCAGTCTTAATGTCTGATTCATTTGGCACATCCTTAATAATATCCGGAATTTTTTTTAAAAATCCATGGACATAAAACAACTTTCAGCCAAGTGCGATGCTACACATCTGTAATCCCAGTACTTGGGAGGCTGAGGCAAAAGGATTGCTGAGAGTTCAAGGCCAGCCTGGGCTACACAGTGAGATCAAGGCCAGCCTGGACTACATAGAGAAAACCTGTGTCAAAACCAAAACAACAAAATTTTTGAAGAAACTCATACGTGTTAGAGTCTTAGAAAAAAGAGTTGCTAAATGTATAAATGAGTTTCTGCTCATTTTACTGTTTACATGTTTTTATCTTTAGGCAATAACTCAGGCTTTCTGGTTCGTTTGTGGAACTTTTGCAGTAGGAGAACATATGCACAGGCCAGATCTTGCTAGTTTCAGTTCCAAAGAATATTTCCAGTACCCTTTTTTTCTGGTAATATGCCAGGAGGCCTCTGTTTAGACTTCATAAGCCCTTGGTCTCCTGATCACTATCTGCAGTTCACCACCCTCAGTCTGAATCAGAATCTCTCTTGTCAGATTACCAGAGCCCTCAGTTTTGGGAGGGTTGAAGCTGATGTTGTAGACTCTGCCATAGGCTGGATGAAGCCGCAATCAGTGAGGAGTTCATAACAACGTCTACAGGCCCATCCAGGTCAAGAGCTGCATCTGTCTTATGTGCTCTATTTTCTGCCTGTGAACCCAATCATGACATCATCCAGATAAGCTTCGGACAATGAAAGTCTTGGCTAACACACCAACTTCATGGTTTGTCTGAGCAGGTCCCAAAGGGTGGTGCTTCAGCTCAAAGGGCCCGATGGTGCACAACAGTGACACCATGCCCTTTTGGGAGCCCAGAGCCCCCAGGATCACAGCACAATAGCCTCACAGATGCCCCTGGCTGTGGACAGGAGTTCAAGATGTGCTTGACAGACAGTGGGCCTTTGGCCTGGCCTTGCACAGTTTTGGATCCATGGTTCAGAAACTTCTAGAAACAAAATATTTTCATTTTCTTGTGTGATCAGAGTAGAGGTCTAGTAATAAAATATCTGACACCAAATGGCACTAAAAAATGCTCAACAAGTGAATACAGAAGTGTTGAGCCCCATTAGAGGAGAAATCCCCAAGCCCAGGGTTCCCACACATCTTCCAGTGCTCACCCTTTCCTTTGCCACCCGTCACCTCTAGCTCCTCCTCTTCCCAGTCCCTGGGGATTTACTGGCCTCTCTGTGCAGGCTGGACTCTGTAGTTGGTTCTTTCAATTCTGCTGCTTCAAGCAGACCTGAAGTTAATCCATCCTTTTAATTCCTGTTCTCATTATTACCACAATGCCCAGCTCCGAGCCTCCTGCCAGACCTCCTGCTGGATCTGTGTTCATGCCTATACTGCCAAACGCTTCCTGTCAGCTCCTACAACACTAACGACTTGGTCTGCTACAAATTCTTGTGGCTTGACCTTGTCTTTGTATTTCTGCCTGGAAATCTTCATGTTTTTTTTTAAACTTTTATTGAATTCAAAAATAATGTTCCCTGTCTCACAAGTGCAAGTTCCTGAGTTCAATCCCTGGTACAAAAAAAAAAAAAAAAAAAAAAGTTCTCAACCTTTTAAGCTTAATTTACTTATAGCCACATGGTTCAAAAGTCTGCAACTTCCTCCCTTTGGCTTTCACAGAATCTCAAAATCATATGTTGAAATCCTCACCCAAGGTGATGAGGTCAGGAAAGTGGAGCCTTCCTGAATAGGATAGAACTCCTACAAAAAGAGGTCCTATAAAGAGAGGTCCCAGAAAGCTGCCTGGCCCCCTTCTACCATGGAGGACACAGCAATAAGATGCTATCTATCTGTGAAGTAGGAAGCAGGCATTCACCAGACATCAAATCTGCCAGCAGCTTGATCTTGGATTTCCCAGCCTCCAGAACGGTGAGAAATAAATTTCTGTGTTTATAAACCACTGTTTATGATATTTAGTTGCCTAAACAAAGACTTACAAATTTTAATGTTAAGAAAGATTTTGGGCTGGGGATTTAGCTCAGTGGTTCTGCCGCCTGCCTCGCAAGCACAAGGACCTGAGTTTGATCCCCAGTACAAAAAAAGGAAGATTTTAAGGTGTTTTAGTATATACTGCTTCTCATCTCCTGTGCACGTTGCCATCACTAAGGACTGGACCACATAGAGGAAGTTCACAGAAACTATTTTTGTGATGAAGAATTCACTGCTAGGTATGACAGTGCATTCTACTTTTGGAGAATCCAAGTGTTAGAAGTCACAGTCCCGGAAATTATCCAATATACGTTTTCTTATTAATGTTTACTCATTGAAAATAATTTTGTTCTTTGAATAATTTTGTTCTGAAAAGAATTTCCCTTTCATATGAAAATACTCTAAAATTTTGAAGATACGCTCCAAATGAGTCTTACTTCTAATGTGAGACTCATTCCTAGTTGTTTTACTTTATCTTTACATAACCCATAAACCTGTTTGTTGAAAGCATCCCATTTTGTTAAAATACTTCCTAAGATATGATGGCCAGAGCAGAAAGAAACAAGAAAAAACACTTGAAATGTGTTATTACCAGTATGGAGAAATATGATAATATAACTTCTATCAATGAAACAAGTTTTCAATGCTACTGGCAGTAGATGTCCCAGATGGGGAGGCTGAGGTCTGCTACTTCCAGTCTCTTCCATGTAGCATCCTGGTAAGTTGGCTCTGTTCCCTTCTGCATTTTGAGCCTGGTGCTCTACTGCTTTTGTTTCTATTAATATTTTATTGTAGTGGCAAGTATCAAACCTAAGGCCTCAGGCATGCTAGGCAAGTGCTCTATCACTAAACTAGATCCTTAGCCCTTGTTTTGGGTTTCAATGCAGGGACTCTACAGTTAATTACTCCCTGTTCATTCCAGGGGGGCTCCTGCTTCCAGGCACATTCTCATCTGGACCCTTGATAAGCACAGCTTGTTTATCTTCTCTCTGGAGAATAATGATGAGAACAGAGGTGGCCATGGGGCCACCAGGTGAACAAGCCTGGATGTATGCAGTGAAAGAAGCATATCTGTTTGATCATCAGATATCTGTTTGATATCCAAAGCTTTGCAAAAAACCTGACTCCAAATAAGTTTTTAAAAAGTACCCACTTCTAAGATAACTGACATTGTGAAATGGGAAGAAAGGGGCTAAAGGTGTAGGGAAAGTGGGAAGGGAAGGGGAAATGTAATAAGGGAAAAAATATGAGAAAATGAAAAATGGAAATAAAGTGTTTGTAAATGGGAAAGGGAGGAGGGGGTGAAGGGAGGGCAGGGACAAGGGGAAAAATGAGGACAGGACCTGTCATGTAAAGGTACAAGATCCCAATGGTGAATGTAACTGTACTGTATACCTAAAATGTACCAATAAACTCAATAAAAGAAAAAAATAAATAAAAAGTACCCACTTCAAATGTCTAAATTCGCAACCTCTAACTTCTCATCTAGTTCAAATTATAGCTCCCCCTTAACTATGTGGTCCCTGCTTGTCCAGTGTGGAGAGCATTCTCACTAGTGAAAAACACAATGCAAACTTGGGGCTTGAAACACTGCTTTCTCCCTATATTCAGTTAATACTACAACCTAAAAATTATTTCTGTCATGTTGTTCTCTTTCTTGGTCAAATGTAAGAATGCACTAGAAAAAAAATGAAAAGGGCTCTCTAACACTTTGGGCTATGAACCAGTATTGTGGGCATAAATCAGCTGGACCTAAATTCTATGGACACAACATATTCAAATTTTCACTGAACTAATCACTGCTGAGAATTCCCCCCAACAAATCAGTTCTTAGTATGGTCCAGGCATATGTGAGAATCCAGACAGCTCCCATCTCTGAAGTGCCTTACCTGAATTGCAGAGAGGTCTTCATAAGTTTTCTTCTTTATATCTTTCAGGTGGATAGTGGCCAGCACTGTGGAGGGAAAGTAGAAGCCCTGCCTAAGTCCTGCTCTGATTTCAACAACACAGGAGCAGAAAGGGCTGCAGAGCTGGGCCCAGCACCTGTTGAACATGCACACCCCAGACATCGCCCTTAACACACTTGTATCCACGCGTGCAGAATACAAAGGGCTAGCAAATATATCCCTTCATTTGGCATTTATAATGAATGATGCAATGATGTGAAAAGAGCAGTTAAAACAGCCACATGATGTTAAGGGACAGATGAAGGTCAGATGAAGAAATTCAGCCAGAGACCGCTAGCTTGACTCTAAGTCTCTAAGCCTTCTGGCCCTGCTTTTCGGATAGACCCCATGGCCTCACTCACGCTAAGCACACACACTGTCACTGGGCTACATCCTCAGCCCCCGATGACTAATGCAGAACTCTGACCTGTATCTCCCATTACAGGGCAGGGAACAGCCACCAAAAAGCCTGGAGAAGATGGCAGTGGAGAAGAAAGCACCTGGCATGACTGTTTGGATTAAAGAATTCCAGATGGCACATTTCTCTGGCTTTTGTTGCTGTTTAGTGCTAGGGATGGAAACCAGGGTCTCACATGCCAGGTAAGTGCTCTGTCAACAAGCTACTTCTAATCCTTCTCTGTCTCCATGTTGTCATTATCCATTTTCCTGCAAATCAATTCATGTTTCCTCCTTTTAATCCTATCCCACAGCCCCCACACTGCTCTTTTACATTTTTTCCCAGGTTATTTATATTTTAAGGTGGCCCAGGGCTTTGATCATTCTAGGCAATTGTTTGACTCCTGAGATACACCGAGACCTCACTGCTTTTATTCTCTGGGTTGGTTACCCCAGGAGCCTTGGTCTGGTTTGATGGTATACTGTTTTTCTGATCACTCCTTGTTACTCATCTGGCAGTGCTGTAGAAAACTTTGCTATGGGCTCAGCCAAACCCTGCTCTGGGCCACCAAGGGGTTGAAGAGGATAAAGTAAATGTTTTACACTATTGGTGCTCTGTGTGTCACAGGTGGTGGGGCCCAGCTTCCTGACTCAGCTGTGGCCACAAGTCTCCACTTTTACCAGAAGTCAAGCAGCACCTGTCCATGCTTTTTGATTGGATGCTTGGAAGAAAGAGGCAAAACCAAAACTATACTGTTTTCCAAATGGCCTTTTCTCACTTCTAGTCCTTTATCTGCAGTCATGAGCAGTACTTTGATCTTTCTCTTCTCCAGTGCCTAGAGAGAAATTCAGATAGTTAAATGGACTGTTTCTGGTCCCATAGGATTTCCTCTTTCTGAAAAAGATTATGGTATTTAAAATAGAAGGAAGATAAGGCATGGTGAAGGTCTAATTCTCTGCCCAACTGCTTATAACTAGGAAGTTAAGACAAAAATATATCGCTGCCTCAGTTACTCAGCAAGGCCAAAGTAGCAAGTGGTATTTCCAGCCTCACAGAAGAGGCAGTGGGATTGTCAAGAGTCACCTAATACAGTGCTTTCCCCCAAGGACCTGAACTTTGGATTTTCTCCAGACAGCTTAAGACAAATACTCTTGCCTGCACTGTCATCTCACATAACTATATCCCATGGGCTAAATTCACAGTATGCATTTATAAACCCACACAACATTGCTACTTCTCCTTCAGCCAATGCTGAAGGCAGGTAAGTTGTGTCTTACTTCACCCACCGTCACATTTTTTACTGCATGAGCCCTTAATGTTCCTACATGAACTAGAAACAATCCTAGGAAATTTTAAATCAGAGAGAGAAGAGGCTAAGGAACGCATCTAATCCAGGAATAAAATACTGAGACTGTAGCCATGCATACTAAGAAAAGCCAACAATGTACCCAGATGGGATTTTTGAAACAAAATATTTTAGAAGTGAAAGTAAACTTTCATTAACCCTCAAGCCCTTTGTCGAGTATAAGGAAGTGACTTGTTTCTACTGGACATGTTTGAAAAATACAAGAAGCTAAGAAGTAATTCAAATGAGAGAAGCCAAATGTCATCTATTCATTAATATCACTCAACTCCAACTCACAGAGGTCCTGTGAGAAGGAAGTGCTTAATCTCTAACCCCAGCAAGCAACATGGCTTATGGGCAAAAGGCCATATAACATATCCAAACTGAAGACTTGAGAATGAAAGAGGGTAGTAGTGTTTCTTCCTGGAACTGAGCTGGACAAAACAAGATGCATGGTTTACAACTCATATGGAGAGAAATAGAGCCTGTTTCTACAAATGAGGGACTGCTTTTATAGCCAATGGACCTTTCTTACAATTACAGACACTCACAATGGACTAAAAATTTCCTGAATACTTACTGGGAAATACGGTATATATAAGGGTAGACTTTGAGGAGCTGTAATCACAGAGAGGCAGGAAAGGTAGTGTTTGGTACTGTCTTTCCTGTGAGGCAATGCAGTCTGATTCTTAAAGCATCAGCCAAGAGTCTAAAAAGCTGAGCAGGATTGCCAGCAGCTTTACAAGTCATGGGGAAAGAAACTACAGACCCTAAAAGATGGCCCCCTAGATACAAAGGTGAATAAGAATCATATCAGCTCTCACAAGGACAGAAGCCAAGTTTCAGATCATGGAAAAGTTATGCCTGAAGCAAAACGAACCATCAAGGAAGTAACCAAAGGCTTCAAATGATCTCAGTGTTCTCATAAATAAATGTCTAACATTGAAAAGATATGATTAGACTGACCATAAGGTAACTCTTTACAGAAACCATGAGAGGAATCACACAGAAACAGATCCCTGCAGAGTCATATATTAAGTTTATTAGACATAGATTCTGAAATAGATATCTAATTAATATGTCCAAGAAATTAAAGAAAAATTAGGAAAAGTTGGCAAAGAAATAGAAATAATAAAAAAGAATTTTAAAAAATAGAACAAAAACAAAATATCTGAAACTAAGAACTTAATTGGAGTTCAATATCATATTAGACATGACTAAAGAGAAAATCAATGAATTAGAGGGCAGATTAGAAGAAATGATCAAAAGAGCATAATAGATACATAGAATATGATGAAAACACCTAACACTTCTGTCATTGAAATAACCTGAGAAGAGAAAGAAAACAAAGCATATAGATGTAGAGAATCAATCAATCCATCTACCTTTCTTTTTAGTAGGGGTTGCACTTAGGACATTTCCTCTGAGCTATAAACACCACACCTCTGAGACAGGATCTCGTTAAGTCACTAACTTGCCCAGGATGATCTTGAACTTGTAATCCTGCCTTCAGCTTCACAGAGTGCTGAGATTACAGGTGTGTGCCACTACACCTGGCTAAGAAGTTTGTAAAACTGATTCAACGCTTCAAAGACACAGACTGAAGAATACAAAAAAGTCAGTGGATAAGCAGAAAGAACATCATACCCATGCAATCTTAGTAAAAATTCTGTAAACAAAACCAAGAAACACAAATATTAAAAGCATCCAGAAGAAAAAAGAAATTTTGCCTTCAAAGAAATTATAATTTTATTGATTCCTAACCTCTTAGAAAAAACAATGGATGGCAAAAAAATACAAAAGTAAATAACAGCCAACCAAAGACTCTTCGAGGAGTAAAAGCATCCTTAGGCATATTTTTAGACAAACAACAGAGCTTATTACTAGAATGCCAGCAACAAAGAAAATATTAAAGACAGAAAAAGGTGATAAAAGATGAAAACTCATAGATACAGGGGTGGGGAGCAATGAAAAGTAAATTATCTGAGTAATCTAAATAACAATTAACTTTATGCCAAAAATAATGATAATGTCTTATGGGATAGATAGATGGACAGATAGATAGATAGATAGATAGGGCTAAAAGATAACAATAGTATCTAAGGTGAGAAGAAAGAAAATATAATTAACCTGTTTAAAGGTGCTTGCTTTCCCCTTAAATTAACATATTAATGTACATGTTAATAATTCAAGGATGGAAATTTTCATCTGCATACCAAGCACTAAAAGAGTAGGAAAACATGTGGCAAACTAGTAAAGGAGAAAATGAAATAATAAAATATACCCAGAACAGGTAGGACAAACAGAAATTAAACAATAGGATGGTAGATTTAAATGTGACTATGTCAGTAAATATATTAAATATGTACAAGATAAATACCTCATTTATAAGAAAGTTTTCATAAGTAATGAAATAAAATTTTAATTATAATCTAGTTAAGACGTACACCTTGAATAGATGGATACAGCAAAGTTGAAATCAGAATAGAAAAACATGTACTATGCAAGCCTCAACCAAAAAAACAGTTGGAGAAAGAAAAAACATGTTAACATCACTCTTACATTAAGAGTCATGCGGGTAGTGTACAGTCCTCCCTCTAGAATGTAAATGAGTGGAAAATGAAACTGGTCCTCGCACATCTTTATGTCTCTTAGCTCCATGCAAACTGCATATACTCAGAGTGTCTGCTCCACAAATTAACTGAGTAAAGTAGTGTGTAAGTACTAAGAAACATCAATGGAACATTTACCTTTTTTAAGAATGACATGTATTTTCTATTCGTCTGATAGGAACCATATTCGTTCTCGATCTGTAAGGCGATGATGGGGCCTCCCTTGTTATACTGGAGGCCAGGAGAGAAGAGTCTGCGAGATTGCTGGTGGGAAATACTGGGTTCTCTGAATTTACTGAGTATACACATGAAAATGACACATTCCTGAACTAAACCCCATGCACACTACAGTTCTAGCAATTTCACTCAGCAGTCAGGGGTTACTTCCGGGAGGTCAAAGACTCTTAGAATCTTACCTTTTCTAATTCAACTCCCATTATTATTTCCCAAACTCAGTGCCTCAAGCATGAGGACTCAAGTTCCCCAAGCAATCTCTGCTTAGTACCAGTTCAGTGACTAAAAAGTCCTTTGTCCTTTCTAAGGGTTGTCTAACCTCCCACAAGCTTGATCTTATCTCCTTTTTGCTTCTCTAAAACTGCTCTTTGGAGGGCTCCCCTGTCTTCTACATCCTTTTTCCTTACTGATTGCTTCACAGCAACCTCTAAATTGATTCCAGTCTCTATGTTAAAAATAGCTTTCCTAGACCATACCTCCCTCCAGTTACAACCACCTTGTCGTCTTCATCTTCATGGCCAAATGTTTTGATGTATTTCCTCCTTCTATCTTGACTTCTCATTTACTCCTTTACTTGCTGTGGTCTCACTTCCACTCTTTCTAATCCACATAAACTATTAACATTGACTATTTTTTGCTAAGTTCAAATGGAAAGTTTTAGTCTTCATCTACCTGCTCTCTCTGCACACTCGACACTCGACCATTTCCTCATTCCTGAAACTCTCCCTTTTGCTTGTTGCATCTTCTGTGACAGCTTCCCTCCTAGTGGGGCCAGCCTCTCTGGTTATTCTGCCTCATTCTCCTTTATGAGCTTCTTTCACCCAACCCACTTTCCAATGTTGATGTTTTACATGATTCTCTATTAATACCCACTGTGTGCTAAATCATATCTACTTCTGCCAACTAAATTACATCCTTTTTAAAATACCTTCACGTTTTCCTTTCCTAGTAGTTCCTTTCTGCCAAAGTGAACATGATAGGGGAGAGAAAGAAACTTTAAACCTCTAAATGACATATACCATTGCTGACAAACATTGTAAGACATTTTCAAAGCCTGCTTCTGCCCCTCTCCCTTCCTATTTTCCACTGAGGTATTCAGAAGATTAAACAACAGAAAAGTAAAGGAAAGATAGCCAGAGTTGAAAAAATCAGAGGTTATCTGAATCAAGAGACCCTGAATCTGATAAATACAATGGACAGATCTAAAAGAAGGATACTCAAGTAGTAAAGAGGGCTCAGGCCCTGGTCTTGTGCTAACTAAGCAGCTTTCTGATTATTCATTTAGTTTTCCAGGCAGGAGTTCCAAAACTGAGAAGTTCTGAATTAGAAATGGGGCAAGCACTGTCATGCAGCAATGCCAGTAGAATTTCATGTAATGACAAAATGTTTTGTATTTGCATAGTCTAATATGGCAGAAACTAGTCACTCATGGCAACTGAACACTTAAAAAATGGTTAGGGACTAAGAAACTGAATTATTAGTTTTATAATTAATATTAATGAATTTTCACGGGGTGATCAAAATATGCAGTGAAAGTTGGATTTTTAAAAAGTATTATAGTAAAAGAACACATTGCAATGAATCACTCTCAGAATACTCCCCTTGCTTCAAACACACCTATCCCACCATTCTTGCTCATGTAGTTCTGGAAGTCCTATGAGTATCTTTATCAGAGGTGTGATCAAAATTTGGTGACTGCTCCGCCAAGTGCCACTCAACAGAATCTGATTGACAGGACCTGTCACTATGCAACTAACTTCTGGCTCTTCCCCAATGTCAAAATGACTGTGGAAGGTAAATGCTTTGAATTGATTCACAACATTGAGGCAGCCAAGATAGTGCAACTGAAAGCATTCACAAAAGAGGACCACTAGAACTGCTTCATACAGTGGAAAGAACAGTGATATAAGTGTATCCAAAGCAAAAGGAACTATTTTGAGGGGAATTAATATTAATGGGTCTTTCAGTGAAATAAATTGTTTTCATTTGAACATTCACCATAATTTTCTAACATAACTCATACATTTAAATATCTACACATGGCTATGGCTCTTATCATTCAACATAGCCCTGGTCTCTATAAAAGACCATGCCTCCTATCCCCTAAACACAACACTGATTTATGTTGTTTAATCACTCAGAAGATTTAAAGGTTTCCCTTAATCTAACCCTGATACTCATGATATTAGGAGTCAAATCTGTTTCTAGTATATTCATCCCACATAAAGCATTCTCCTGGTGATATACCAGCCTCATGATTGTCTCCACTCGACCTATAATAACTTCTCTTTCAAATGGATACTGTGAGGGTAAAATAAACTAGGTAAGTGTTAATTGCCTAGCACAAAGCTTGATACCTAACAGACAGTATATGTTTTTTACTCCTCTCTGTTTATTTCTACCAAGTATTGATGCTCTTCAGTTTACCATGGGGTTGTATCACAAACAAGCCCATCATCAGCTGAAAACACTGCTAGGTCCAAACTGTATTCCATACACCTAACCTAGGGAACATCACAGCCTGGAACACAGAGCACCATTGTTTCCCCTTGCGGTTCCACCACTGAAGGCAGCCGCAGGCCGGCTGCAGCTGCCCAGCATCAAGACAGCATTGTACCACATGTCATTAGCTTGGGAAAAGATCAGAGGTTAAAATTAAAGTACAGTTTTCACTGAAAGCATATAGCTAGCACAACATTATAAGGTCAAAATATCTGAAGTTGAATTATCATAAGTTGAACATCATCTGGATAGTCTTTTTCATATTTCTCAACCACTTTTGAACTATAATGCCACACTACTTCTATCGTAAACAATGACTATGAATGACTCCATGGTTTTATAGCCAGGGTATATTAAAATTCAAGTAAAATGCATCTTCTACAAAATCATTGACCTAAGGCCACCTATATAAGCAATTATTTGTAGGAGTCTGAAATGTAGCTGTCTTTAAGAAGTAAATAAGAACATTTTTGAGGATAATCATAAATTTCCCATTTATGCTGATGCAGAGAGGAAATAAATAACAAGCAGAACAAAATGACGATACACAGAGTATACCTTAAGTGTTCTTTCAGGACAGTCAATGGAAGAAAAGCACAAAAGTCGAGAGGTTAAATGTTGGTGCTCAAACCGGCACCTGCTGCTGATGTGCTATCACATGTGCTTCCTGCTTTTGAGAGCAGAGCAGCAGTGAGCCCTCTGCACAAACCAGTTCAGGCACTGACTTCCCTTTGTCACACAGATGGATTCTACCTGGAGAAACTCGATCCTGGGAATCAGCTGATCAAAATAGCAATTCACCGCTTTCTGGAAGCCTTTGTAAGTTGTCCGCAGCCTCATGTTTGGGTCCCGGAGTAACCAGCTAGGATTAAAAAAGGGAAACTTAGACCTGGACTGGGCGCCAACAATGAGAAACGCTTAGCCACAGGAGCTGGGAACATGGACAGCGTGACATGAAGGCTTAATGTAGCATCAAGAAAGAGCGGTGTGCCTGCCCCAAACAGCTGGGCACATTGGCATCCCCTTCCTCAGGATGAAGTGGGGTTTGGTTAATGAAGATCCAGAGCACAGCTCACAGAGCAAAAGCCCATGGTCCAAGTCAGACTGCAGTCTGTTCCTGTCAATACAGTCTTTTTGGACATAACTGCACGCAAGTGTTCACATATCATCACAACAGATTCTATGCCAAACCAGCAGGACTGAGCAGCTACAACAGAAACTATGTGGCCCACAAAGCCTAAAATATTCACTATTTGGCCTTTTACAGGAAAAATTTTCCAAACTCTAGAGTGAGATTTTTATAAAGCTGTTTGAAAAAAAAATCTTTTTCCTAGAATATTATTCAGCCATAAAAAGGAATGCAGTATTTATGTGTTACAACATAGATGAATCTTGGAAATTTTATGTGACAGAAGCCAGACACAAAGGCCACAAAGTATCTGATTCATTTACCCAAAATATCCAGAAGAGGCAAATGTAGCCAGAGGGAAAATTAAATAAAACAGAAGGAGATAATTACATGATCACCAAAAAAAATCTTAAACAGAAATACTGTTTAAGTAATAGCTATTAATTTATATTTTAAAAATAAATAAGGGTGAAGGGAGGACAGGGGTATGGCAGAAAAATGAGAACCAAGACCTGTCATGTAAAGGTACAAGATCCTAATGATGAATGTAACTGCACTGTATACTTGAAAAGCACCAATAAACACAGTAAGATTTAAAAAAAGAATAAATAAGAACTCTACCCCATTCACACTACACAGATGTAAATTTATTTAAAAACATAACAATAACGGGTGGGGATTTAGCTCAGTGACAGTGAGCATGCCTTGCAAGGGCAAGGTACTGAGTTCGAGTCTCTGTACCAAAACACACACACACACACACACACACACACACACAAATTAATCCCTAGTATTTTAAGGCTTGCTTTCAATGTCATTAAATGGACAAAATTATACAGATAAAAATGTATACAGAAAACAACAAAACACTGCTCTAACTTGTATTGGAAAGTGCTTGTGGGCCTGGTGCAGTCACAGCCAGGGACGCCCGCCCACCACACAATTTACCTGGGCAGACCTCCAAGATCTAGGTCACTCCAGATGTAGGGGCCAGGACACAGAATGACCCAAAGCCCCACCTCTGAAGCCATAGTTACAAAAGCCCTAGGAAAGAAAGCAGTGACAGTAAGTTCACTTTGAAAGCCGAGACACGGCATCAAGGCCATATTCCTCTCCTTGCATTCCTCTGAGGTTAAAATGAATGGCACTCACAGCTTGGCCTTCAACACCATATAAGGGACTGGTACAGGAGATGAATCCAACACTCCGTGAGAAAAGGGCTCTGTTCAGGCACTAGAGAGCAGAGCATTCAGGTGGAAGTTCTGAATCCTAAACTCCAGCCTCCTACCCAAACCCACTCCTGCCCTGAACGTCCTACTACCATGCATGGAAGGAGCACACAGTAAGTTCTCTGTGGCAGAAACACACAAACCACCCCTGTTCCTTATTCTTCCTCGCCTACTGTCTGTCCATCACTAAATCATGGTTATTTTCCTGTTTAATGCTCCCAGATGTTAAATTCCTTTGCATTCCCACTGCATCCACATTGGTTCAAAAACTCATCATTTCACACCTGTTAGAATGAATGAATGACTAGTTTCCTTCCTTTGTTACTTTCTTCTAGTCCTTCCCCAATTATTGTCAATAAGGATATCATTATTAACAATGAACACAGGAACTAATATTTACATTGTGTCAACATCCGGCACTATGGCTAAACTTCAGTTTATTACTTTCTGGGTAATTATATGAGATAGGTATTAAATCATCTCCATTTCCTCAGCCATAAAGAATGAGAAATTAGAAACATTGATAGCTAAATGGATGCACATTGAGGCCATACTCTTCAGTGAAATAAATAGGACACACATGTAAATACAAAACAGTTTCTAGGGTGTGAGAAACTTGACGTGTAAAAAATGATCAAAATGTATAACAGATAATGTGAAATAGGAAGAAAAGGTGCAAAGGGGAAGGAGAACTGAGAGAGGTAGGAAAAAGGAAAGAGAGGAATGGAATTAATATGAGAAAATGAAAAAATGGAAACAAAATCTTTGTAAATAGGGAGGGGTGGAGGGGTTGAAGGGCAGGGGAATGGAGAAAAAATAAGAATCAAAATATATTATGTAAAGATTCAAATCTCCAAATATAAATGTCATTATATTGTGTACCTAAAATGTACCAATAAAATTAATAATAATAAAAAGGAAAATATCACAGACAGGGATAAATTACCCACAGCACATGTGTCTGTATAGACACTTTCTGTGAAGAAGTCTTATAACACAATGATAAGAACATAAATAACTATTTTTAAAAAAACATCTCCACTTTACGAACAAGAATATTAAAACTCTTAGCAGAGCTTCCTCAAGGTTACATTTTAGTAGGTAGAAGATCTAAAATTAGAAATCAAGCAGAAAGCCTGCTGAGATGAAATCTTAACTACTCTATTATTCTGCCTCTTATGAGCCCTGTGGGGTGTAGGGACATAACTGAGGGGTAGAACAAATGCCAAGTGTGGGAAAACTTCAGGGTTCGAGCCCCAGCACCAAACAAAACAAAACCTCTGCCAAAATGATCTTTCACAATGCAAATGTAAACTTTCCAAATAAAATTATTCAAATAATTATCCAATGCCCTTAAAATAGGTACCAAATTCTGTAGCATGGTGTAAAAGGCCAAGATCCGGATACTGATCATCTCTCCAGACTTATACCTTGGCAGTTACTCTACTTGAAAGTAGTAGGAGAGCCAAACATCATTAGTTGAAGATCCCAGAAAATTCAATGTGTGGCAGAAAGTTAACCAGCGAATCTATTCCTTTCTTTCCTGGGTATATAATTCAACCACATTTTCCAGCTCCCATGTGTTAGGTGGAGTCATATGTCTGACCTAAGGCCAATAAAATGTGAACAGAAGAAATAGGTTGGAAGTTCCAAAGAAGAGTCTCCATACCCTTTCTTCCATATCTGGGCTTAAAGTAAACAGGTATTGTGGTTTAGAAGTTTTATATAAAGATGGTGAAGGCGCAAGACAGAAAGATCCTGCATTGCTCTAATTATTTACTGGAATACAGATATCTGATCATTAGGAATACATGTTTTTAATTCTGTTTAAATTAAAATAAGCCTCTGTTAACAGAGTTGAGGGTTACATGTTACAGTGCCTAATTTCATCTTTTTTGTTTTTGTTTTTGTTTTTTGAGACAGGGTCTCATTGTATAGTTGAGACTGACCTGGAACTCACTATGTAACCCAGGCTGGTCTCGAACTCACAGCAATCCTTCTGCCTCAGCCTCCCAAGAGCTGGGATTACAGGCGTATAACACCACACCTGGCCACCTAAATTCATCTTCATTGACATAGTATACTCCCATATCTCTGACTTTGCTCCTGCAGGACACACCACCTGAAATACCACTCAACCACTTCTAGTTAACTTCTGCTCAACCTTGAAACTTACCTCAGCTGTAACTTCACCACTATCTTCCTGATCTGTTTCCTCATTTTGAGCTGTATACCTTAGTTTGTTGCATTTACCTCTCTCTCTTTATTCTTAAAAGAATAGCATGACTTGTCTATCTTCAGCACCAACAAGAACATCTAAACTACAGTAGACAGTAAGTATATACTTTTGTATAAACTACAGTAAATGGTAAATACTTATTCTGCACACTCCTGTCTTCTCATAGAAATAATCTAAACTAAACCAAAAAGTTCCTATTAACTGAGAGAACATATTCCTCATGGTAGATTAACACTACCATGTGTAACAGGCCAGATGAACAATTCTAATCCACAATTTAACACTATGGCCTATGCCCCACTATAAATCACAGGTTCCCTGCTTAGTAGGGCTTCGGCTTAGGGGAAAAGAAATGTCCAGAGCTTCCAGACTGGTCTCAAAGGAGAAAGCAAGGTGTCCACTACTCCTTCACCCAATGCCTATTACTGGAATCCCATCTCTGAGCCACAGAATCAGGAAATTAAAGCATGAACACATACATGAAATCCAGGTTTCCAGTGAAATGAAATTGGCCTATTATTGGCTCATGGAGGTTCCAGGGAACATGCCTGCAATGGTAAGAAAAGAGAAATATAAGATACATTCTCTTATTTGGCCTGATTCCACACTGGTTTTTTTAGTTTTAACAGAGCACCTAGGCTATTTCTATCATGAAGGAGGCTGAAGGTTTCAACAGCCAAACTCTGTGGGTACAATATGCATTATCTTCATAATTTCCTCCCTCTAATTCCCAGCAAAGATCTAAGCAGCCAATATTTTTCTATGATTCTGGACTGCAGGTAAGAAAGATGTATATATAATGTTCTATGATATGCACCTACAAATTTCCTTTGTTAATGCTCATGAAACCACACACAAAATTTATATCAACACCTATAATGGCCAAAAAGAAAAAAATATATTAATCGTAAAACAAAAAATAGCCAGGTGTGGTGGCACATGCTAATCCAAGCACTCAGGAGGCTGAGGCAGGAGGATTGAGGCCAGCTGGGCTGCATAGTGAGTCCAAGGCCAGGATGAACTACATAGTGAAACCCTATCTCAAAAAATTTTAAAAAGAAGAAGAATAAAGGAAAAACAGAAACAAAAAAAAGAAAAGTTTATAGGACTGTGTTTCAGTGTTTTGTTTTGTTGTTTTTTTTTTTTTTAAGCATTGAAACAAACAAAAAAACAGAACCAGAAAATACAAAGAATACCAAATACCAGTATTAGGGCTAGGAGGTGTATCTCAGTGGTGCAGGACCTTTTTAGCATGAGTGAGTCCCAGGGTTCAATTCCTAGCACCCCCAAAATAAATATATACCTATAAATAACATACAAACTGCAGAAATCCAGAAAAAAGCCAGAGTGCAATTTTTTTTAACCTACAAAGAATAAAATCACAATTATAATAGACTTTCCCTCAGGAAACCAAGCAAATAAGAAAATAACAGAATAAAGTATTTAAAGTTTTGGAAGAAAAAACTCTCACCATACTAAACGTCTATATTCTGAGAAATTATCCTTCAAAAGTGAAGAAGAGCCTGCCCTAGCCAATGCCTGGGCCCATACATTAAGTCAGGGAGGACTCTGGTACTACCTGTGTGTCCCAGTCCCAGCAGACTCCATCCCTGCTCCTGGGGTCTCCTCACCATAGGGCAACAGCAGTGACAGCCAACCAATTGACTGACCTGATTAAAAAAATGAGACCAGGGTCGGGGATTTGGCTCAGTGGTTCCGCCTGCCTCACAAGTACAAGATCCCAAGTTCAATCTCTGGTTTAAAAAAAAAAAAATGAGACCCACACCCAGGAAGAGAATTTCACTTCAGAACTAAAGTGTTGCCTTACCACAGAGAGACAGGCTTGGGAGACAGGCTTTGAGAGGGAGAGAGCTAAACTGGGATCTCCTGGGATCCCTGGGGGGGCCTTGACTCAGGCCAGGGAGTTTCCAGGGCCTGTATTGCATTAAGAGAGGCCAAGCTTAGAAGGTGAAATCATCAGAGGGGTTGGTCCTGAAGGAGAAGGCAGTTAGTCTAATGGTATCTTTGAGCTCTAGCATTGCTGCCCACATTTAGCAGAAACTAGTAGTCAGAAGAACTTTTGGCCAGTATATGGGTGGTCTAATTGTGCTGACTAAAATCATAGTCCTCATAGTTCTGGTTAAGGGATGTTCATAGTCATTCCTAGGGTTTGTCAATGTCTGGTTGACATCTGATGCCATTGTTGCTGCTGAATTTACTACTACACAGATTCTTAACTTTTTTTTTTTTTTTTTTTGGTATAGGGGTTTGAACTCGAAACCTTGTGCTTGTGAGTCAGGCCGCAGCACCACTGAGCTAAATCCCGGCCCTGAACTTACTACTACAGCCAAGGCAATATAAAGGTGGATGATAGCTAGTTTTCTCCAGTGTCAATATCTGGACTTTCTGGGAATTGCAAACAATAAAAAACAAATACACATATACAGGAGAACATAAGAAAAGCAAGGAATCAGAAGATACCCCAATGTCTCTCAACTCTCCTAAAGCAGATCAAGGGTCCACAAATGGAGAAGAAAACAAACAGCAGGTAGCAGAACCATACAAGAGGTTATAGAAAAGATAAAGAAACTAGATAAGTTCAAAGAGAAAATGAGCCACAAGTTCACAGAAATATCACAGAAACTACCAAACAAGGATACAAGAAAAATGAGTAAAAAAATGGTAGAGTTTACATTAACTGACGTTATTAGATTCCTGTACAAGGCATACCTTTATTCTAATTATTTCCCCTTCCTTTTCTCCTCACACTTCACCCTTGTTGACTTGGACCAGATGAACTGCAAATAAGTACTTATAGAATTAAGTATTAAGAATTAAAAATTAGAGAACCACGCCTGCTCCCGACCCAACAGCCATCGCTCAAGCACCGGGAAGGTAGCCGCGTGGGCGCCCCTGAACCCCCATAAGACGCCCCCCCGCACCCTCAGACCTCCTGACTGTGCAAGTCTTTGGACCCACTCTGCCAAGACAGAGGTGGTCATCAAGGGTATTTTTCTGAGTTCCCAACTTTGAACATCTTTAAAGAAAGGGTGTGGGAAACCTGTAATAGAACGTTGGGGAGTTCAACCATTCAGAAGGATGGGAAACTCAATCTGGGCCTTGCAGCCCGAGGTCAGTCAGCGTCATGGGGTTCAGCAATCAGCTAACTGAGATCAGGGGTCTTGCATCCTCACTCTGTCTGAGCCATTAAATGGTAAATATACTATATTGAAAAGTTTGTTCACTGCAGACATGTTCTGGACTGCTTCTTGATTTCAATTTAATTCAAATGATTTAAGGGTGATAGACTAGTGACTACCACAGGTGGTCAGTGTCCAAGTTGTGCTTGATCTTAATGTGTTGCTGATTGTATCAGTTGGGGTAAAGCATTGCCGTTGATTTGATGAGCTGTTTTCTCTGATGTTATGAAGATGAGAATGTCTGTGGGTCGTTAGAGACACAGAAGCTAGGGTGCAACTATATCAGGAAGATTTGGGTGATAATCCAGAGATTAAACCAAGGACAGTCCGACAACAAAAATTAAAATGAGAAAACACTTAAGCAAGACACAAGGACAGACTTCCAGTTCACCAATGGCAAACAGTAGGGCAAATGAGGATGAAAAGGCCGATAGTGAACCACCAGGACACCCTGAACTCAAAGCACAGGAAGTAACAAAACAGATCAATCAGGCTCTAGAAAAATTCAAAACAGAAATAATTTCCCAGATAACCATAGAGATAGTGAGCAAAATGGAAGTCGTGATTCGAGACTCTAGAGCAGAAACTGACAAAAAAATAGATGAGCTCAGGACCATGATAGAAGCCATGAAGGCCCAGCATAAGAAAGAAATGGAAAAAATAAACGCCCAACATAGGAAAGAAATGGAATCCATAAAACAGATTCAAACAGATATCCAGGAGATTAAACACTCTATTGAAAGTGTACGCAACAGAATAAAAGAATGCGAAGATAGGCTCTCAGATATAGAAGATAAGATTGCAGTCAGTGACCATGAAAAGAGAGGTCTCTTAAAAACAGTAAGAGATCATGAGAAATCGATCCAACAACTCCTAGATGATGCAAAGAAGAATAACATAAGACTGATAGGAATACATGAAGTAGCAGGAGAAAATACAAATGACTTAAAAAAGCTGTTTGCAGAATTAATGACAGAAAACTTCCCAAACAGAGGGGAAGAATTTGACATTCAGATAACTGAGGCATATAGGACCCCAACTAGCTACAATCAAAAAAAATCTACACCTAGACATATAATAATCAAGATCCCAGAAACCCAACAGAAGAACAAAATACTACAAGCAGTAAGAGAAAAGAAACAAATCACATACAAAGGAAAGCCCATCAGAATCACAGCAGACTTTTCAACACAAACCCTTGGGGCAAGGAGAGCCTGGAATGAGATATTTCAAGTACTAAAAGAGAACAACCTCCAACCTAGACTGATGTATCCAGCAAAACTCTCTTTCAAAATGGATGGGGAAATAAGACACTTCCACGACAAAGAACACCTGAGAAACTACATGAATACCAAACCAGCACTACAAGCAATTCTAAACAAGATCCTAGAAAAAGACAATGAAGGCAACAACACCATGAGGCCCAACAGAGCAAATCAAATAGGCAAGGCAAGAAATTAAAAGGAGAAGGTGAAAAAGTAAAAAGAGTCAACAAAAGGCCAATAACATGTCAATAATAAGTCAGTACATATCAGTTATAACCAGCAATGTCAATGGCCTCAACTCACCAATCAAGAGAAATAGACTGGCAAAATGGAATAAGAAGCAAAATCCAATAATATGTTGTATACAAGAAACACACCTAGTGCAAAAAGAAGCCCATAGACTGAAAGTGAAAAGATAGAAAACAATTCTCCATGTGACAGGAGCCCAGAAAAAAACAGGGGTAGCAATCTTATTTGCAGACAAAGTAAATTTCAAACCAAAACTGAATCTAGTATTATTGATGTAGGACAGTACTGTATCATACCTCTATGAATGTAAAATATCTAGTACCTGCTTTATGATACATAGTAGGGACCGTGCTTTATCAGAGCTACATTTAATGATATTACTCTAGAATGTTCTCTTTCCAGATGATGATTAAGAGGCTAATAGAAAAAATGGTGCCAGGTACCACAACAGCAACAGAACTTTGCTGTTGTCTGGATATTATTCTTTTTTTTGTTTTTTTTAATGGAATGTGCTGAATGTCTATAATTTTGTTCAAATGACTGCAGAACCTGGAAAAGCTGTTGCTGCTATCGATGCATAACATACTATTATTAGTCTATATCTATATCTATGTCTATAGATATAGATATAGATATGCACACACACACACACACACACACATATATATATATATATAAATTGAATTTTGGGAAACTTTAACGGTGCTGCCAACTTTGGAAAAAGTCATCCCAATTTACTGTGTTGACTTGGCATTGTACAGAAATGGACAACCATATTGGTCTAGAAATGTTAATTT